CCCAGGCTGGAGTGCAGTGGCACGATCTCGGCTCACTGCAACCTCTGCCTCCTGGGTTCAAGTGATTCTCCTGCCTCAGCCTCCTGAGTAGCTGGGATTACAGTTGTGCGCTACTGTTCCCAGCTCATTTTTGTATTTTTAGTGGAGATGGAGTTTCACTATTTTGGCCAGGCTGGTCTTGAACTCCTGACCTCAGGTGATCCACCTGCCTTGGCCTCCCAAAGTGCTGGGATCACAACTGTGAGCCACCGCTCCCGGCTACCTTTTCTAATTCTTAAAGATCCTTCAGGAAAGGGAATGAAACCTATCCTCTCCAGTGTGGCTCCTTGCTATTTCTTAGCCCAGACTTGCATCTTTGCAGTTTTCCAGGGATCTCTTCTGATTGATAGCTATGGGCTTATCAGTGTGACAATACAAGGCAGGAGGGGCTTCATTCATGTGAGATGAGGAAGTCAAGGGGGCATTGTTGCCTGATTTCTTAGCTGTCTGTCTCATTCTCAGGGACATTGACAAGGTAGATGAACTGATGACTGACATCACAGAACAACAGGAGGTGGCCCAGCAGATCTCAGATGCCATTTCTCGGCCTATGGGCTTTGGAGATGATGTGGATGAGGTGATTGGGGGTGAGGGGTCAGGGCATTTTGGAGAAAGTATGGGACTGGCCAGAAGGAACACCCAAGAGAGGCTCTTGGGGCAAGTTTGGGAGGGAACTACAAAAGCAATATGTTTTTGGAGGTAGATGTTTTTTTCTTCATCTTAAATGGTCTTGTCTTCCCTATACAGGATGAACTGCTGGAGGAGCTAGAGTTGCTGGAACAGGAGGAATTGGCCCAGGAGTTGTTAAGTGTGGGCGACAAGGAGGAAGAACCCCCAGTCAAATTGCCTAGTGTACCTTCTACTCATCTGCCGGCAGAGCCAGGTATGCAGGGTTGTTCTGTTGTCTTGAGGACTTAAGAGGGTAGGAGAGGTATGGGGAAAGATTATTCCTCACCCATCCTGCCTCAAAGGAGCCACACAGAAAGGGCTGCTGCTGCAGTTGTGCAGGTTGTTGACTGCATATGGGCACCCACCTAGCCTGTGCTTCACTCAGCAAGCTGTGTACCCTGGTTTAGGGCTACAAATGGCAGGAGCAAGAGGCACCTTTTTTCTAATTTGCACAAAGGTGCTATGGGATTGAACAGCAGCCTAGCAAGCAGAAGGACCACACCTTTAGGTTTTTTGTGGGGAGAGAGAATTCAGCAGGCTCTGAATGTCATAGTAGGGGATGGTTGGAGTTGCTGAGACCTTAATCCTTCTCCTTTCTTTTCTCTGGGTATCTTTGTCCTCAAAGCTCCCAAAGTGGATGAAGATGAAGAAGCACTAAAGCAGTTGGCTGAGTGGGTATCCTGATAAATCTGGGCTTGTCTTCCTAATGCTACCTTTGTTGGTCCTTTTTTCCTTAAGTGCCAAATGCTGAGCTAAAGGAGAATAACTTTTTGGGGAAGTCCTGCTGAGGGTGGTAGTATGACCCTGCCTGAAAAAAGGGGTCTCTTGCCCTCCCAGCCCTGGCTCAACTCTGAAGAAGATCTTGCTACAGAAGGAGCCCTTGGGCTCCCTTCTCTTTGATAGCAGTTATAATGCCCTTGTTCCCAATAAAACTGGGCAGATGGAATCCTAGTGTCTATACTGCCTTGTCTACCCCTGAAGCTGTTCCCCTGGCCCTTGGAGCCTTGTCCTCAAGAGCCTTATTTCAAGCAATGAATAATTACAGCAAAGAAGGGAGGTTGGAACATAGAACAAATGGGCATTCCTAATATCTCAACCTATGTTCCAGACAAACACTGTTTCATCTTTCAAGTCGGTTTGTCCTAGAGTTGCCTAGTTGCTGCGATTGAAGAAACTGCCATCTACCACTTAGAACCATGTGTAGGCATCTCTGAGTCTTCCCTCATTGCTTTCCCCTGGTCGTGCCTCTGCCAAGACAACCCCAAATTTATTTTACAAAGCCCATTTTCAAGGACAAGGAGGGAGAATACCATGGAAGGAGCAAGTAGCTTTCCTTTGTCCAGAACTCATAGTAGCTTTCACTACTAGAAGGCTTGGTTTGAATTCTATGTCTGGGAACAACAGTGTGAGAAGCCTTCTCTCCCTGCTATTCTATCAGTAGTGGTTAAGGTGACACTGGAAGAGGGAAAAGGAACCGAGGTCCTTCATACACCCAAATACCCATTTCTTTTCTTTTCTTTTCTTTTTTTTTTTTTGAGACAGAGTCTCACTTTGTCACCCAGGCTGGAGTGCAATAGGGCGATCTTGGCTCACTGCAATCCCCGCCTCCCAGGTTCAAGTGATTCTCACACCTCAGCCAGGTGCCACTATTCCCGGCTAATTTTTGTATTTTTAGTAGAGACAGGGTTTTGCCAAGTTGGCCAGACTGGTCTCGAACTCTTGACCTCAAGAGATCTGCCCACCTCAGTCCCCCAAAGTGCTGGGATTACAGGCGTGAGTCACTGCACCCAGCTCGAATACCCATTTCTAAAAGAACTAACAGTGCCATCATCTTGGACTATAGACAGGCAGAGCCATAATCAAAGTGGAGCAACCAGGGCTTTTGCCCCACCGCTTGAGCATTTAAACAGCACAAAGATGTAAAATAATGAGCATATATTGAGTTGCATAATAAAGCTTCCCAAAATAGAGTGTTAATCTGAGCACCCCATCTCCTATGAGCCACATCATGAATTACACTGTTGATTTAACAGTGTCAAGATTATTGGTTACAGGCTGTGGGCAGAAATCGTCTCTTACCCCAGCAGTGTTCCCTGCTGTAAGATTGCCTTGAGAAAAGAATGTCTTTGACCCTAGCTGATAAAACTAAATCAGACTTAGATTTATTTTTGGTATAAAAGATTTTTGGCCCAAGACCTCCTGCTTGCTCCTCTCTTAGCCCCCTCCTTCAGCCATTTTCAGGTCGTAATTTCCAAGGATTGGTGATGTTTAGTGGTGTTGTGGAGCTGGCACATGGTCTCTAGGAGCCTGATCTCATGGGTGGGTTGTTCATGCTGGAACTTGAGCACCCAGGGATCCTTGATGATGTCCAGAATGGTGGCACGCTTAGTGGCTTGGTGTAGCATCTGGAGGATCAGGTTCTAGAGCAGGGGAGAGAGAGGTCTTGCCTGAGTTTTTCTCCATTGTGCCACGCAGGCAATGAGCAGCTGGACCTAAGAAAGAAGCAGGATAGCCCATCATGCCACTCTGGTCAAAGTGGGTGTGGCTCTGATTTTATCTTGGAGAGCCAGGCAGTTAACTCTCTGGAGGGGAAGGGAAAAGTTCCTTGGGAGGAATGCTTTCCATAATTCTCTTCTGGCCTAAAGAGACAGAAGCTAGAACCTGTGTATCAAGCAAGGTTTGGAGCCTAGTGGTTGGCCCTTTATGCCTTCCATACTGTTTATTATAGGACAGGAACTAGTGTGTGAGATGGCTCTGGTGTGGGAAGAGCCTTTCCCCAGGGTTGGGAGGCCTAGGTTGGGTGACGTAGGTTGGATATTCACCCCTCCCTGTTGGTCATCCCTGAGGGCTCACCCCTCCTTAGGTAGCCAGTACCTTGCACTCCTGGGAGATGGTATGGTTAGCTGGGAAAGTGACCTCCTTCTGAGTCTCTCTCAGCAGCTTTTTCAGATTGGTGTCATCAAAGGGCAGACGGGCGACCATTAGAGTGTAAAGGATGACGCCCATGCTCCAGGTGTCAGACAGGAAAGGGTTGTAGGGCAAGCCTAGTAAGATCTCCGGGCAAGCATAAGCAAAGCTGCCACAGTAAGTCTGGCTGAGGTGGGAAAAGCAGTTCACTTGGCGGTAAGAAGAGCTACGACCCACAGGCTGGTTAGAAGGCACCATCTTGGCGAAGCCAAAGTCTGATATCTTCACATTCTCCCGCTTGTCCAGCAACAGATTCTCCAACTTTAAGTCCCTACCAGCAGCAGAAAGGCTGGGCATCAGGCTGGGGAGAGGGCTTAGTTTTAGACTGGGAGCTGAAGGGCCAGGGGTCAGAGGGTAAAGATGAGGAAATAAGTGGGAGGTAGAAACCATTATGAGGGCACAAGGTAGAGAGGAAGGAAAGCCATGGAGTTGTGAGCAGAGCCCAAAGTAGGGAGAGAGAGAGAGAGGATGGTATCTGAGGACCACTGGGAGCTCACCATCATATTTCATAAAATGCTGTGCATACAGTACGTACTTTATCAGTATCCTTGACCATATGATTAAAATAGAGTACATGAATAGGCCTAGATATTGAGGAGGGAGTTCGAGAGAGGAAAAAAGGGCAGCAAATGGGAGATGTGCATAAAACCCCCTTGAGGGCAAAGGACCCAGTCTGGGTGGCAGCGCCCTCACCGGTGCACGATGCTCTTGCCGTGCAGGTAGGCAATGCCCAGGGTCAGCTGGGAGAACCACTTGCCAGCAAGGGGCTCAGAGCAGGCCCCGTAGCGCTGGATCCATTCAAGGACGTCACCACCCTGAGCCAGCTCCAGAATGATGTATACTCGAGATGTGGTCTCAATGGCCTGATAGAAGTTGATGAGGTACTTGTGCCGCAAGACTTTCATTACCTGACCCCAGAAGAAGGACCCATCAAACCTGGGAAGGGAGAACTGTGATGGCACTCCCAGCCATCTCCTGCCCTCAGCTACTGACTTAGAACTTTGCAATAGGATCAACCCCTCAACCCCAGAGAACTGGTGGCCTGTGGTCAAATGCTATGTTTAGCACCTTTACTTTTTGGGGGGCTGGAGGTGAGTGGGTGGATGGGAAAGAGGTTTAACTTACATAAATTTTCCTAGCTGCTAGTGAGACATTCAGTTCTGGTTTAGGGATTTCTGGCCCCACCCCTCGTGGCCATACCCCTTCTGAGAAACCTCAAGCAGCTTAGTACCAAGCTCCAGTTCCCTCTTCTAGCCCCCTTTCCAACCTGTATCTCACGGGGCAGGAACTTGTTAAGATAGTCATCAGAGGCCTTCTTCTTTGATATGATCTTGACTGCCACCATGACCTTCTGCTTTGTGTAGAAAGCCTCATATACTGTCCCATAGGAGCCATTGCCAATGACCTTGCCCACCTCATAACCATATTCATCCATGATGGAGTGGTAGGCTGTGGTGGTCGGTGCTGCCTCTACGACATCTCCCTTCCCCATGGTGTTGGGCTTGCTGAGAGCAGGGAGCTTTACTATTGGAAGCTTCCTATCCAAAGGCCAACACCTTGAGCCGCCGAAGGCTAGGGTGTCAAAGTGAAGTAGGTCTCCAGATGTTTGCCTATATAGTCACACAAGTCTGGGATGCTGGGCTCAGCCCTCCACTAGGAAGTTGGAGGGGGAAAGAAAGAGAAGCAGTTCTTTTTGTCTCCACTGGCTGTTGTTACTTTGTCCTTTTGGTTACGGAACTCCTCAAGGTCCCATGTTCTGAATACATCACAATCCACCTCCTATCCATCACTGGCCACAAAACTTGAGAATGAAGTGCAGTTGGAAACATACTCATTCCCAGAGGCACCTTCCACAGTCTGCTGAAACTCCTAAAGATCAGCCCTTTCATTGATATATGAGTACCTACTAAGTACCAGACAGTGTGCTGAATACTTGGATAAAATGTCACCCAAATATCATGCCAGACCCTTCCTCCTTCCTCAATCCCTACATACAATCTTTCATCAAATTCTGTCTCTGCTATCTCCTACTTATCTCTTTAATGATACACTCAAGGCTTTCCAAGCCCATTGCAGCCCCCTTAGTTCAATAAGGCCAATAGAGACACTATGATCCTAGAGCTTATAATGCAGCATGAGAAAATGAGAAATACAAGTGTGAAAGTATTGCAACAGTAAGGTATTGAACATGTTCTAGGAAAATCTAACCTTGAAATGCATTCTTATCTTTCATGAGTCAGAACTCTCTAGTTTTCCTCCACATCCTTCTGGTCATTCCTCAGCGTTCACTGAAGCTGTATCTTTCTCCATCCATCCCTTAATCATATCCCAAGTGTTCTATCACAAGCTTTATTTTCTCAAACCTTCACATCCTCCCTTAATCTTGTCCATACCCATGGTGTCAATACTACATTTATGCTGACTGCTCCTAATTTCATCTCCATCCCATATATCTCTGGAGTTCAGATAGAGCAGCCAGTATTACATGGCCATGTCTGCCCCAGGCATGGAACTTACCATATCTGTCTCGAACTTAAACATATCAATAATTGAACTTATTTTCTTCTCTCAGACCTTTCTGTGAGTTGTACACTAATCACCCTTAATTGAGACACTCAAATGTCATCCCAGACTCTCCTGCCTCAGTCCCTACATTCAATCTATCACCAAATCCTATCTCTTCTACCTCCTGATTATCTCTTTGATAATATTCTCATGGCTTTCTGAGCCCACTGCCACTCCCTTAGTTCACGCCTCCATCATCCAACAGATGGCCCCAGCCAGCCTTCTGCTCTCCTCCAGTTGGTCCATCCCAAGTCCAAAGCATAAATCTGATTTTATTTCCATTTGGAACAATTCCGTTTCTCCACATTCTCTTCAGGATCAAGTCCTGATTCTTTCATACAGCTTTAAGTCTGATCCTGCTTACCTCCCCAATTTTATTTTTTTAACACACACATAATACTCCAAAACTGCTTTTCTGTATTTGTGGCAAACTCCAGATCTCCTTGAGAACTTGGCATAGGAGCTGTTTTGTTTTTGTTTTTGTTTTGAGATGGAGTTTCGCTCTTGTTGCCCAGGCTGGAGTGCAATGGCGTGATCTTGACTCACAGCAACCTCCACCTCCTTGGTTCAAGCCATTCTCCTGCCTCAGCCTCCCCAGTAGCTGGCATGCACCACCATGTGAGGCTAATTTTGTATTTTTTAGTAGAGACGGGGTTTCTCCACGTTGGTCAGGCTGGTCTCGAACTCCCGACCTCAGGTGATCACCCACCTCAGCCTCCCAAAATGCTGGGATCACAGCCATGAGCCACTGCGCCCAGCGGAGCTATTTTAAAGAAACCTTAACTGACTGCTCAAGCTTCAGTTAGATATTCCTTCTTCCTGGGTGCTCCCACAGGCCCAATACTTTGTCTGTCACAGCACCTAACATGGTATCTGTAATTGCTTCTCTTACTTCATCTCCCACTAAGCTATATAGGCAGGTCAACTGATGAGAAGACAGATGAATTGTGGAGAACAGAAAAGAGCTGGTTTAGAAAATGAGTAGCATTGGCCCAACTGAGGTTGGAGAACAACTTGTCCATAGATACATATTACAGTTTTGTGATTCTTTTAGCATCTTGGTTATAGGTACTTGAATGTTGATGGATGATTTAGGGTTTTGCTTGGCAGCTGCAGTGAAACAACAATGGGAGAGGGGCATCAAGAACATACACAAGAACGTGGCTGAAATGATGGAATGCGGAATCTAAGCTGCATGGGTAAGGAAGATTATATAGTTTGGATCTGTGTCCCCACCCAAATCTCATGGTCAATTGTAATCTGCAATGTTGGAGGTGGGGCCTGGTGGGAGGCAATTGGATCACGGAGGTGGGTTTCTGATGAATGTTTAGCACCACCCTCTTGAAGTGAGTTATCATGAGATGTGGTCATTTAAAAAAGTGTGTAGCACCTCCCCCTTTGCCCTCTTGCTCCTGCTCCCACTGTGTGAGATTCTTGCTCCCCCTTCGCCTTCTGCCATGATTGTAAGCTTCCTGAGGCCTTCCCAGAAGCAGATGCCAGCATTATGTTTCCTGTACAGCCTGCAGAACCACAAGCCAATTAAAGCTCTTTTCTTATAAATTACCCAGTCTCAGGTATTTCTTTATAACAAGGCAGCTGACACAGAAGACAAGCTAGAAACTGGCCAAAGGGGCAGAGGGAGGAGTTGCAGGTGTCACTGGAATGGAAAAACAAGTTTGGTAGGAATTGAGAGCATGAGAAGAACAGGAGGTTGTGGTCACAGAGGAGTTATTTAGATTTAAGATTTTGTAGCCAGGTGCAGTGGCTCACGCCTGTAATCCCAGCACTTTGGGAGGCCAAGGCTGGTGGATTGCTTGAGGTTAGGAGTTCAAGATCAGCCTGACCAACATGATGAAACTCATCTCTACTAAAAATACAAAAATTAGCTGGGTGTGGTGGCAGGCGCCTGTAATCCCAGCTACTTGGGAGGTAGAGTCAGGAGAATCTCTTGAAGCCAGGAGGCAGAGGTTGCAGTGAGCCGAGATCATGCCACTGTACTTCAGCCTGGGCTACAGAGTGAGACTTTGTCT